TCTGAGCTAACCAGATGATTAATTAGCATAAAAAAGTTACATAGCGTGTTTTTGTGTAGGTCCTAAAAGAAACATCTACATTTCAAGTGTGGGTAAGTCAAAGTAGCTTTAAATAATATGGAAGAGCAACATGGTCACTGCAGTATTTAATTTTGCCTTTTTTTTTTTAACTTTCCTTCATGCAAACACAGATTGAGCCAAAAACTGGACCACTAAGTGGTGGAATTCTTTTGACCATAATAGGATCTAATTTGGGAATAAAAGCAGAAGATGTAAAAAGTATAACGGTGGCAAACGAGGAATGTCTTTTCAAAGAGGAGTTCTACTCTGTTTCCACAAGGTAATTGATGGAAACTTTTCACAAGATTTTAGAAGAAAAAAGGAAGTTCTGGATGATCTTCTTGTGGTTACAAAAGTTACCAGTAGAAAAAAAGAACTAGTGTGATATACTTGCAGTATTTAATAGAAACGTATGAGTCTTTATTTAAAATTGTTAGAGACTGTAATACAGCAACAAATTTACAATGGTGTACTACCATCCTGCTTCTAATTGAATTTTTTTCTTACTTGATTGAAAAGCTTTCATAAACTATTACTGCACATATATCAAGAGTATTTATTTGTTTTTAAATTAAAGGCATTCTACATGTACATCTATTATTAAAAACTTTGCTAAATCTGAACCACGGTGAAGCCAAGCATACAAAATTTATGGAAAAGTAGACAAAACAAGAGAAAACTTAAATCTTTCTGTTTTAGTCCAGCCACAAAGTTTCTTTCCTAGGGGCAGGGAGGGAACATAGAGTTTAGGTTTAGCTGTAGATGACTAATTTTCATCTCAGAGCCAACAAGTCCATGGATGTTGAATTGCCCAAGCAGGTTGGTAGATGTTTTGCAGATTGCTTGTCACACTCTTAAGCCACGCCAAAAATTAAAACAGAGTGCTTAAATTTTTCTAGGTGAGTATCTAGGTGTTTGCTACAGATTATATCAAACACCTAATTTCAAGAGGGAAATACCCTTTTGATATTAGCTGATGAAAAGCATAGCATGAAGGTTCAGTAGTAATATTAGGAGTAATGACACACTTTAGGCAGTGGGATTTTTCTTTCATTCACTTCTGATATTTAAAGCTTCAATTGAAACACTGGCTTTCTTTCCCTTCAGTTAATTTAAAGTGTAACACAGTAACTTTTTGCTATTCTTATGGTGTGTTTTGAAAGGGATTTTGAAGATAGCTAAACAATTTTTTTTTAGCTTTTGAAAAATGGTTAACTTTAGTCAATTTTTGGATTGGTTATTAGAAGCTTCCCAGGCCTCTAGGACTCAAGAATGTAAAGAATAGCTGTTTATTTCTTACTACTTCCCATTTTATTGCAATCAATCCTACATTTACATCTACTTCACTATCCACAGAATTCCAAACTTTTTTATAGTCATGTTTTCCCTTTCCCTGTTTTCAGTGTTTTCAAAGGCTACGCTGAATTGCAGCATAGACTTACAAGAATTTCCTCAGCCTCTTGGCTTTTTCTAAAGCTTTTTGATATTTTTAAATACATGGAAAGGAGCCAGAAATGTGATGACTAGTTCCTTGTATCATAGCTACATTACTGGTTTCCTAAGTTCTGGCAGTGTAGTAATGGAGAACAAATGCAACTTGCATCATGTCATTTATCAGCAAATTAGTGGGTTTTGAAGGATGTTCTCCATTAGGGAAACCTTAAAAAAGAAGTTATTAAAAATCTTCAAGAGCATATCTATAATTTGCTGTCTTTATCTTCCTCCATTCTTGTGTTTTATTATTACTTTCTTTTGTATAGTTAAATTAAAAAACAATAATAAGTACCTTGTCTTGCTCCCCTGTCCCTCTGCAGTAAAAAGCTAGTCTTTTTAGGAGACAGTTGCTCCCATGTGCAGCAAGATTCAAGGCACTTAAGGCTGCTTTCTGTCTCTGTGGTGATTTAATTGTTGGCCTTCGAGAAGTCTGTTCTCATTCTTTGTAGTTTTCCATTACTAACGTGGGGGAAGGGAGGCAATGCCAGCGCTGGTGAGGGGAGGGAGCTTTTCTCAATTAAAATCCCTGCTACAATGTTTCCCCCACACATCCCCTGCCCTGGCCCCTGACTGCTTTCCCTAGCTTGACATATGGTAAAAATTCCTCCGAAGGAACCGTTTCCTGTTTCTGCCTGACAAGAAGATAAAACTTCCAAGAATACAGTAGAGAGATGATGAGGAACAGGCTCAGGCAACCATACACATGCCAGGACATGCAAGAATCTGGGGAATTTTGTCCATTTGCCAGTACCCACTAAAAAAAGTCTGGAGTGATCTGCAGAGGGACTTGACAATCCTTTTATTATAAGTCCCAATTTAAGTACATTATACCCAGTAATTTGGAGTTGTTGAGGGTTTTTTTCTGCTTTGGGATTTTTTAAAGCAGTTGTGCACTGCTTAGGGAAGATTAGGGAGTGACAGAAATGAGCAGTGATCCTCAGGGTGTGTCCTATATGAAACTGTCTGACTGCACAGGCTGCGAGCATTATATACCTCCTTATCTAATTATTTTATCAGCTCTGCATTAAGCATTTGTCCCAGTTTTCAAGTGTGTCGAATCCTTATTGCCTTTTCATGCCTTCATTCTGTGGGTCACCTGTTTGAAATAAAAATTTAAACATCTTAGCTATCACTCAGCAGTGGTGTTATTTAAGGCAGTGTTTTCTGGCCAGTGTTCCTCGACCTCTGATTTTGTGTGTGTTATCTGAAAATTTATTTTCAGAGAACAGTAATTCTGAAGGGATTTTGATCAAAGGTGTGAAAAGGCACTATTTTGAAGCTGAAATATAGCAGGATGCACAACAAAATTATCAGCAGCTAAAACACACAAAGCTCTAAGATAGCTGATGATCTGATGCTTGCATCAAGTGGGTGGGGGCCATTTGGGTTTTTTAAACATCACAAAGTCCACTGTAAGTCTTTCGGTGGGTTGGAGAGATTCAGGCTTACAGGCTGAATTTGAGCCTTCTGTAGAAGGCACCTCTACTAACAGGTTGCCAAATTAGCTGCTGTGTACAGTGCTCAGGTTTCAGTTTTATGAACCTTTAGATAGATGAGCAAACTATTCTTGGATGGTTTTACCAGGAATCTGAGACAGTGTTCAAGAACATTGTATAGGGTAAAGCAAAGTGAGTGCTTTTGCTGGCAGTGTGTGTGGTAGCTCACATACATTGCATTGATATTGCAGCTGTTACTTATAGCAGATAAACTTACATTCTTTTTCGTTAGGATTGTGTGTCAAGTTGGACCAATGAATGAACCACAACAAGGTCAAATTGAAGTCAACATCAGTGGAAAATTAGGTAAATCACCAAGTGAAGTGCTGTTTACATACCAGGTAAGTGCATTTTTTTTCAAAGACTTGTTTTATACTTTGTGCATTACTTAAGTTAGAAGTTTACTTATTAAGCACAGAATTGCTTGTGTTTGTCTTACAAACTGTTTGATCAATAGCACTGTCATTCAAGGATGTTAGAAAACACTTAACTTCAGCATTTCTGTATACAAAAGGTGTACCAAAGATCTATTCTGATCAATAGATCCAGAATCTCAAAACAGGATGACGTTATCTGCCATACGAGTTAAAAAGATGTGGTAGAAAAAAATCTTACACAACAGTGACATAATATCTCTTAAGTGTCAATATTGAATTGGAAAAAAAGCCCTTCAAAAAAATCAGGTATTCTCTAGACACACGATATTTAGTCTAGTCTGTGTTCTTAATGAGAAGAATGGATGCAGAGCAGCTGAAGAATAAGTAATGAAAGTACATTAATTTCTTTAATAATTTATTTAATTCAAAAACACGGCATGCAGAGCCACAGGCAGCATGATATCTGTTCATATAACATGTGCTTTGTTTTCAGTGTGGCTATGAAGGAGAATTTCATTTCTGTCTTAATTGCTTTGCTCCAAATGTGGCCCTAGCTTATAGCTGATCTAGCCTGTGATTTTAGCAGCAAGTATCTTTATCTGTATCTATGAGGTCTTCAAAATTTATAAGAGCCTATGATAGTTGAGAGGTTTAAATAATCTCAGTCCTCATATTGATACTTAAAATTACACCTATAAATTTTAAAACTATAAAGCATAAATGGTGGGTTAGGCTTTTATCTTCTCCCTTATTTAAACTTCTGTCTCATTAATTCTTGATATCTTGTGAGAAGGAAAGGAAAAGAGTAGGCAGTATGCAGTGGAAATAAGTCAAGAATGACATTTAACTGAGAAGAGGACATTCTTGTTTTCAGAAAACAGGCTAGAAAAGGGTTTCCTGTAGTTCCCAAGCAAAACCTCTTCTCTCTGGTAATACACCTGTAAAAAATCTCCCACCTTTTTTGCTTGAATATGTCATCTGTTCCTTTTTGGAAATGTAGATTATGATTAAGTCTTGCTTTGTCCATCTCATTCATCTTAACTGGAGAACAATGAAATAATCTTCCCTGTGTATGTTTGTGGTCTCTAGACAGATGCTGTGACAGTAAGCCCTACTTGAGATGAGATTTTGGCATGAATCTATTGTGTTGGGCATGTTTTGCACCAGTTCTCCTATGCATCTGTGTGTAAAGATTCTCCCACGTTTTGCATGGGAAACACATGAAGTTGTTCTGGAGTGTGTTAAAATGTAATCTGAAGCCCACATGTAGGCTTCAAAACCTGTCTGTGGACTTGTTCTCGTGTGATTCCCTGCTCAGCCCATCTGCGAAGCAAGATAAGCAGCCACTGCTTTTGGCTGCTTCAGGGAAAGATTCTTACTTGCCCATCAGTGAAGCTCTAGGAAAACCTGCTTTGCACAGGCATCATCCAGGAGGATGTTTTCCTGCAAGCCCAAGACTCCCTGTATGCTAATCTCTGCCCGCATTGAGGTTACTGAAAAATCAGATGCCTAAACTCACTGCTGATAAAGATAATTTTTATTTTCTGCAAAAATCTTTCTTTGGGGACCCTATTTACAATATGCAAAGCAATGACAAGTATTACAATTCACACCTTAAAACTGATGATGTTGGTTTCTAGTTTCATTTATCTTTATTCCACAAAAAAGTGAAGCCAACTGTGGACTGCAGTAGGATTGAAGTCAGTACAGGAGCATCACATTGACATGCACTTCTACAAGTGTGACACGAATGCTTCTGGTGTGAGAACAGACGGTCAGACCAGACAGTTGCATCAGTTAATGTTGTCTTTAAAGCTGCAATCTTGTTTCAGTGCTGTTTTCAGGCAGTTCTTTGGTAATTTCTTTCAGCAGACATGCAAAATCTGTGCTTTGTTTAAAACTTCTTCTATTCAGTATATACAAAGGAAAGAAAACACTCTTCTTTCCAAGAGCCTTCCTAAAATAAATTTTCTCTTATGAATTTCCCCTTTCTTTGGCACATTGGTTGACTAGCCTTTTGTTGGTAACTATCATTGTTTCTACTCTGTTCTCTGACCTGCTGAAGCAGAATAGCTTCAGCTTTAATAGTGATCATTCTAAACGCTTTGTGTGGCATCACAGAGCAAAAGTGCACGAGCAATGCACAAGGAAACACTGCAGATGTTCAGCCTGGTGTGTCCGTATACACCAGAGGTATCATCATGCTCCCCACGGTCTCAGCCTTGTACATGTGACTAGTATCTGCCACCAAAAGCTCATAGTCACTTAATCAAGTATATCAGATATAAGGAAGAATTTTTTTTATCATGAGAGTGGTGAGTCACAAAAACAAATTGCCCAGACAAGCTGTATCTGCCACATTATTGTAAGTGTTCAAGGCCAGGTTGGGTGGGCTTTGAGCAAGCTGATCTAGGGAAAGATGTGCCTGCCCATGGCAGGGGGATTGGACTAGATGAACTTTGAAGGTCCTTTCCAACCCAAACCATTTAATGATTCTTTAAGCAGTACTCTGTTTGGCTCTTGTTGATACACAGTCTGAACAATGAGATTTATTTTTAAAGGTGGACTGATGAGGATCAATACTCAGAACAACTTGGAGCTCAGACTTATGCTTCTGCCCCGTTTGCCAGCACAGAGCATTTTGGAACTGAGGAATTTTTCAGATCTCCATTAAATGGGTCAAAAATCCAGTTAAAAAGGAAGCTATGGTTTCAGTTTAAAATTATTTCTGAGCAGAAATGCCGTGGTTCAGAAGTGTCTGTGCTATGCAGTGAGCATCTCATCTATATTTGCTGTATAACAGGGGAAGAAAGCTCTATTTCTACCTACCCATCAGAATTTCTCTGTACAACTTGAGTCAAGTTCAAGTCTAGTCATTCCACTGAAATTAAATTCTGATAACCCTCTGCTGACATTTCTATTGTTTCACTGTAAGCAGTATCAGGCAATAACCGTTCTCCTGTTAGTGAAATAGAAATGAAGTTATGCTAAATTTTAATATCCAGCTATGCAGCACATCTGGAGCACTGACAGCTTGGCTGGTCTCTAAGCAAGTGATGCAGTAACATGGCTAAAGGCCAGTCCTGCGTTTCCATTTGTTGTTAACTTTATCTGATTTGCTAGTTACTATGGCAGTGAGAAGCAATCTCAAAGGAAGGAGTTAAGCTTCTCCAGAGTATATGGCCCAGATTTGCTGATTCCATACAAACACTGATTCCTTTCCCAGAACACCTCTTCTTCAGACTCAAACCACCAGGACAAGAGCTTGCAGCTGGTTCTGGCATCTCCAGCATCTATTTTTCAGAGCAATTCTGTCAGTTTTAGGCTGTGCAGGTTAAAAAGACTACATGGTTTCCTGTAGTCTTTTTCATGTAGTAGAAAGACTTCATTTTTCAAGCTCAAATAAATTTAAGATGGTGAAATTAGAGGTAGAACTTCGCAAAATGTAATACATTTCTGAGGTGCTGAAAGTAGTTTAGGAACTGGCTTAAAAATAATGACTTCTTGTAGATGAGGATGTCTGTTTACCTAAATAAGATGAGACGAATAACCAAAAATAGGAAGAAGGAAGGATAAATTAGAGTCTAATCTGAAAACAAACATGAACATGACTATTCCCCATACTGGAAGTTTGAATGTGAAATGAACAGTTACATTTAACAAGGTGCACTCTTTCACCTTAATCTACTCCCAACTTGGCAGTTTCCTCTTACCTGCATCTATCCTCTGCTTTGCTCCTTGACATTTGAAACAATTGCTCTGGGAGCTCTCACCAGGGCAGTGCCCTGGTGTTTTAGCTCACTCCTTGATTTTTCTCGGTGAGTCTTTACCTCAACACATTAATTTTACACTGCAGCTGGGGACCTTGGGTGGTTTTTTTGTGGGGGATTACTACATGCTTGTTGCCATTATGATTGATGCTGATAAACCACACATCTGCAGAAGTCTGGAATTGCTTCCAGAGGATCTTATTTTATTCTGGAGTCCTGGAGTACATCTTGTTTGTGTGTCAGCCTGCACAGCAGACAGGAGAACTCCTGGCTAGCTGAGAGTTCTAGCAAAGTTGGCCCTTATTCATGTGAATATTATTAGTCTTAACTCTCTATTATCTGATTTATGCACTTTAATACATATCCCACCATCCAGTGCTCATGATTCTTCTTGAAAGCTGCCAGTAAACACTGGCTGTATGATAGTGCAGACTTTCCAGTCATGCATGCTTCCATTTCTCCATGAAACCTGTCAGCAAAGCTCTATGGTCATTTCAGAAAATCATGTGGTGTCTGCCTCATGATAAAAAGACGCTGTCTTCCGTCCAAAAAATTAGTTGTTTAAAATACCAGCCCTTTGCATAAGCGACCCATCCACAGCAGCCAATGCACAGTGTGCATTGCCAGACAAATGCTCTGCCTGGACACCTGGGGTGCCTGGAAGCATTTGATCAGCTTACATGGTATGAGGTTTGGACAAAGCAGCCCCAGAAAGCAAGGACTGAGCTCACCCTTCTGCTGTTGCAGAAATAACCCAGGAACTGACTTGTGCTATGGATGCTGTGATGAAGCAAGCTGGTGGGTCAGGTCAGCCACTGTGGTAAACACCAGGTTGCCAAGAATACGCAATGGAAATTCTCTGGTTGAATATCCTGTGAGTGGGTGGCTCGTCTGAAGAAACAAGAAACAGGCTCCCTTGAGTCTGAGAAAGGAGGAAAGTGGAGGGGGAAAAAGCAGCTCCTAAGGACTTGAGTTCCCCGTTCAGAGGCTTAATTTAGCTCCTGTGGTTACATTTATAGTCCATGAAAAGATATTTTGACCTCCAAGAAGGTGGCTGGTATCTACAGGACTTCATGGGCTATGCCTTTAATTTTTGTGTGCATAATATGCAAGAGTTGGCAGAATAATTTAGCTTTCAGTGTGAGCCAGGTAATTTTGGTAGCAAATTAGTTGTTTTACAAACCTGCTTGAAGAGCCAGAACATACTGCAGCTGGGACCAGGATGAGGAGAGGCAAGAGTTACTTGTGAAGGAAAGGATGGATGAGATAAATGCAGAGCAATAACGTGGTCTGCACATTTGTGAAATCTTATCCACATCTGTATGCACTATCCTTGAAACAGCATCCCTGTTCTCTGCTTGTGTGGAAGCACAAGGGCCCATTTCTTCTTGTGAAGATGTGCACTTGCATCAAAGACAAACCCTCAACTGAGATCACTGTCTATAGGAGCTGGCAGAAGGGAGCTTAGGTGGCTTCACCATTTGCTGCCCATCATGTCCGTTTGAACACTTCCATCTGTTGCTGGCTTCCACTTGTGCTGCAGCTGGCATCTCTCACAGCATCACGGGGACGTGCTCTGACACCATCCTCTTTTCCCTTCCCAGTTGTGTCTCTGCTTGTGGTCTGGCACAGTTTTGTTTTCTCCAGCATCCCCCTCTGAAGCATAGACTTCATGCCAAGGATTCCTTGCAACTCTGTTAGGCTCCACTCCTCTGTTGCCTTCCAACTGTTTTTGAACTTCTGGCCCTTCTTGTCTTCTGGCCTTTCTCTCTTTGATTTTCTGCATTAGTGAAGGATAAAGGGCAACTAATTTTATCTCAGTGGTATAATTCTTAGGCTAGAAACTGCTTACCATAGATGGATACTATAGTAGATAGTATTCTTATTTACAGAGTCATGCCCAGGAGTTTTTCTGGGAAAATGAAACTTCTTATAGGTGAGGTTTTTCTTGGTGACAGCCAAGGGGGAAAGTAGAGAAATGGAAAAAGAAGATATGCAGAACTTAGGTGATGCTCCATAGGGCTCCACTCCTCTTGTTCTTGGATACTGTGTAAGGAAGCAGAAGTGAGTTGGCTGGACATGACAGTGCAAACCTGGAAAGCTACAGAGCAAACAAAATAAGTGAAAAAGAACATGAATCAGCCTGGAAAATCAGATCCCAGATAGAAGATGGGTGAGTGAAAAAGAGGCTGGGGGAATGGTTCCCTTTTACATCTGCATATCTTTAATTGCAAAAAAAAAATGCAAAAAAACAGTAAAGACGGGGGGGAAGGGAAGAAAAAAAATAATAAGAAGAATAACCCCACTGTTAGCCATCTAAAAGCTGGACTTTGATTTGGGACCAGCAGACCACAGAGATCTAAAATGCTGGGAGCTCTCTGAAAGCATTTTCAGACTATAAAAGGTATTTTTTTATTAAAATTGTAATTAAAAAAACTGAAGAAATAAGAGATCACCTTCCCAACTCTGCAAAAACACTAATTGCTACTCATAAAACATTAAAAATTTAAAAGTTCATTCTAGATTAATAAACAGGATGAAAAATGTAAGAGCTAAATGTAAATGCTCAGAGCGTCTACAGTAGCTGTGTAAGAGCAGTAGTCATGTACACTGCTAATAAGCAAGTTCGCTTTAAATGTGATTATGAGTGGAACAGACGTGGAGATAATTTACCCTCTAGCACGCAGAAAGCATGAAACTACAATGAAAAATATATCTGCATTTCTGTGAACAGATTTTTGAGGGCAAAACATACAAACAAAGCAGGCAAATATGAGATTTCTGGCTGTGATGAAGAAAACAGGACACTGGAAAACAGCCTGAGTGGGAAGTCATATACATACTTGGGTCAGTTGAAGCTCTTTTGTCTGTGTTTTTCTTTGGATATTTTTTTCCAGTACCTCTGAGCTGATGAAGCAAAGACGGTGGCATACAGGAATGCAAATGCCACATAAGGGAATTCATTGGTATTACAAAGAGAATAAATGAATTTTCTACCAAATGTACTGGCATTATTTGAATGTTATGTACCATAAGCAATGTACAAGGACTTAGAAAGTGTCATTGTCTCACTGCTTGAAGCAGATAACCGCTGCGTTCAGGTAAACCATATCAACAGGGAGGGCACCAACCACAGGCCTAAAAGCACTAGAAATAACCTATTTGTAGTATTATTATCCTTCCAACAAAGCTGTCTTGTGGTTATCAAAGCAGTGAGAAAACTGCTTATCAGTTTCGGAATGTTTACCCAGGAGTCTGGTACAACATGGGAAACTTGGTTGCAGGTGGACTTTGAGATCTCTTCCTCAACATTATTACACCTACGTAGGATTCAAAGAAGGTTTATGTATGAAATATGTAAAGTGCTCGAATTTCCCATGACTAACAAGCTACAATCTGCTCAGACCTACAAGCAAGAAATCCTGTCGAGATCAAATTATTTCTCCAGGATAAACCATGCAGTAAGGAGCAAGTTACATCAGTTAACAAGTTGGACTAAATAACGGTTGTAGGTCACTCCCAGATGAACTATTCTATTGAATTTTATTCTGAATAGCATATCTGTGGATTTGCATACATTTTATCAAAACTGCAAATCCACTTCCTACAAACACAGGGCACAATCGTGAGAGCGTAAGGCAGTGGGGAGTCCTGGTGGCACAAAGTCCCTCTGCTGGGATATGGCTTACGAGATTCATCAAAAAACAGGCCACTGAACAGCTGACAGACATTGGAACAGGCTTTTTAAACTAGACTATCAAAAAGTCCACATAATGAGGTAGCCTGTTATTGCAGAAAATATTTATGCTCAAGCATTAAACTACCTGGAAGGTGTGAACAATATTTTCCTGGTGACAAAAGAAGTATAGACCTGAAAGAACATTTCTCCATTACAAACAAAATAAGAAAAAAATGAAATATGTTTGAATTATTTTCTGCACTTTAAGGTGTTATAAAACAAGGGTTAAATTAGTGCTTGCAGGGTTGTTTAAATTTTACTGTATCCATGAGAAATGAAGTATTGCCAAGTCGTCACAAGGACTGATGTTTTCCAAAAGAATTATTACAAGACTTCTACAAATTCCATACATGACACATAATCAAATGTTCTGTTTAACATTATAATTGCACTGAGCATTGCAGTGTGATGTTATAGAGATGTTATAGAAAGTGTGACTTCCCCTGGGTGTCTTCTGACAAAACCAACAAAGATCTCAAACTGTGGAGGGCTGAAATAGCCAGTAGGGTATTTGTCATGAGAGCAGGTGTACTTCTGATTCAGAGACTGAAATGATAAAAGGGCAGAAACAAGGAGAGAATAAATCCTTGAGGGAATTTGGAAAAGGTGGCATCATTGATATCACATTACTGAGGTCAGAAGCTTATCAGTGCCATTTGTAATGGTTGAACATTTGGAACTACTCAGGGTTGAGTTCAAATTAAAGGGGTTTGCCTCTTGTTACAAGCAGCATTTTTGTTATCCTTCAAACAAGGTTTGAAGTGAAGAATTTACCCTTTGTCCCTCATTTTTGTCTGCAAGGAGAAGGAATCTCATACAGGATTGTGGTAAGCAACACAGAGCTGTGGGTTAGGTGCAGCTTTGCCAGACTGCGTAAGAGTGTGTAAGACAAGACTAGACCTGGCACCCGCCAAGGGTCTGAACCTGTCTGTCCCACTGCTGAGTGCCGTGGGAAGGGGTTACTTTCTCCTTAGGTAATGCAATTCTTATTGTACCACCACTGATGGCACCTGTTCAATTTATCTTGTCATTCAGTGAAATGTCATTCTTCTCCTGATCCTATCTACCTAATTGCATTTTTGAAAAATGCTTTCTGGTTGAGCATTTGTATGACCCAAATTTTTTTCATTATCCATATTCTTAAGACTGCCAGGTGGGCCAATGGAGCTTTGTTCCTTGAGCATCAATGAATATTTTAGAAGAGTACTAAAACTTGCTCATAGCATGTTGGTTTTGCAATAAAATTATTATTAAAATTGTTAAAATTCTTGATAATTTATTTTAGCTGCTTGTTTTTTCTGCAAGGTCCTTACAAGGAAGGGAAAGGGAGAAAATATGAAACAGAAAATAGCAAGTTAAAATTAATCAAATAATATTCCTGCTAAGTTTACAGTAACAAACTGTTACTGTATAATGCTTTGTCTTATCAGTCATGCAAAAGAATTCCTCTGCACACAAAGCATCATTCAGTTTCTCCTTATTAGATCATCTTTATGAGGCATCCACTGTATTTGTTCTCTGGAGAACTCCTGGTATTTGCAAAATTACTTTAAATGTGTTAAATATGAATATTTTGAATTAAACTCTTTTAAAATAGTCCTTTGAGGGACCGCTGCAAGAACAACAATTAAAGACAAAATAAAGGTTAACCGTAACTATTCCACCTCCTCTTTGGCTGCTATCTGAGTTAGTTCCCAGAGTGATTCTTGGTCCCAGTTTTCCATTCAGACTGAAGTGCAATGAAGATGTGTCTGCATCATGGATTCATGAGGGGTGGGTGGCGAGTTCTCCTCCTGTTTGGTATATCTGGGCTTTAAATTACAGCAGAGTTGGAGTCTTTCTAAGGGGAGGGGGGGGACACAAAACAAAACAAAAACCAAACCTAACAAGCAACCAACAACCAACCAAAAACCGAAAATGGTTTCTAGGGAAAACGGAACAGATACTTATTTCACTACCCCATTACTACTGTGTTATTGAGAGATAACTTCGATAACTGGTTACTGATGCGTCCTTGTTTCTAGGGAAGCAAATGTAGATCATCCCTTACAGGTCCCCCACAGAAAATGATACTGGATGGTTCTACTTCAAGTTTGCGTCTCACTCCTTATTTACTGTTGTTGGCAAGGGAGACAGCTGATGCCCTGCCAAAGGGACCCATCAGATAGCCCAGCAGAGCTTTAACAGGGCAATAATTTCACAGTTTTGCTGGAAGAAAGGAATATGGCTGTCTAGCTGAAGTTCTTTGAAAGTTTCCTTTCCTTTTTTTATGCTAAGATTACAGAGAATAGGGGTGCATGATGCTTCATAAACCTTTTCTTGTTCCTTTATTTCCTCAGTGTGTGCTTAAAGGCTTCCTTTAAGCAGTTTTTAGTTCCTTTCCTTCCTGAGTCTGTCCTTGTAGGCTGTTCTTTTAGTGAAGTTAGTGTTTAGGGAAAAGGTTACAAGTGTTAATTTTTTTTTTCAGAGGTTCAGGGAGAATAAATTTGTCCATACTGATTCTTTAGTAGTTCTTGAGCAATACTTTCATCTGAAAGCTATCCTAGATATGTTATGCAGCTAATCATTGCTGTGGATTTTTACTGTGGATAATACAAAGGTCCAACATGCTTAACAACTTGTAGTAATTAAGATTTAATTTGAATTTAATAAAAGGTATGGGTTTCTGTCCATGTGGTAAGGTTACACTTAAAGCATTTGATATATTTTTATAAACTACTGATTGACTGTATTTTAGATACAGTTGTAATTGTGATCTTTTTAGCAATAAAATTGTTATAAAAAATGAGGTTTTCTATGAATTGGATATCTAGACTTACGTTAATTTAAACTTCAAATGCAATTTTTAAAACTGACCCCTTAAAACCTTTTATTTACCCTGGCGTGACTTGTTTCAATTTAGTTTAAATAGCAAGGAATTAAATCCAAATATGAGAGTGCACAGAAAGGGTTATACAGACCTAAATGAGCTTTTAAAATGCTTTAAAATTACTTTGAGTGACTTCCTATATAAAATCTTGTAACCTGAGTGATGTATTAAATTAATTCTAAATCAAAGGTTAGTGCATGAGAGCAGTCATATACTCACTCTTGAGAAGTGAAGGGTTTACAAACAGATTTCTCTCAGGGAAGAAAAGCAATTGACACCCAATTAGTTAAAGCATATTCCTAAAGCTCAATGACTCGAGAGCAAATTACAGTTGTCATTGTGGATTTGTGAAGTGTGCTGAACCATGATGCATTCCTTCAGAGGGAAGTTGCTCAGACATGAAAGTAGAAAACAAGCAGAGCACATATGAGTTCTCAACGTTTCTGTAATATCTGAGCTTCAATAAAATAAATTTTTTAAGTAACCATGAAGT